GCGTGTGCACGGAAACAAACTGCTGGGCAGGGATAGCCACATTTCTGGTCAGGTAGAAAGAGCTGGACGAGTCAACTGACTTGATTTCTGCTGATCTCTTCACTCCATAAGTGTTAACAACATTCGATCTTCCTCTAATCAAGCTAGCTTTTCTTCCACAATTATCCTTTCTTCCGCAATTATCCTGTCTACTCCTGATAATGGTTCTATGCTCACTCCCCAGCATGTCCAGTAAACATGTGCTGTTACCTAGGAATCTGTATTGTGGGATTTTCTTCCTCAGGGATTTGAACCCATAACAAATCAGAGACAGGGAGGTCCAGAGTTAAAAGCAGGCTGAGGTGTGCAGTGGAAGTTGCAGGAGGGAGCTGTAAAGATGAGGTGAAGTTACTGCAGTGACTCTTTTCCTGAATTATGAATTGCAACATATGATGCTGGCTGTGGCAGGCTGAACTGGTGGCACAACCAGGGTGGATTAAGGCCAGGCATGGGCAGATCCAGAGTGGTTGGTCTCCCTGGGATAGGGGTGGTACCAAAGGCTGAAGTGGGTCCTTGCCTTCCCCCAACCATTTATTTTTTTGTGGAGGGTGGAAGGAAGTGGAGGCCAGCTGTGGGCAAGTTGTGGGGAGGGGGAGTAGTGTGGAAGAGGGCAGCAATGAGGGTTGGACGAAACAGTTTGAGAGGGTTTCTGAGGCAAAGGGTTTGCCAGGGGCCTTGAGGGAATAGATGAGATAGAGGAGTGTGGAGGTGCTGGAGCATTTTGGAAGTGGGAAAGTAAAAGATGGGTTTGGGTCTCAGCAGATGGAGGAGTGCTGTGGGAGTGAAATAGGGTCTGTAAGGGAGGTTGGGTTCAAAAGGGATGGTGTGCAAGGTGGCCCAAGGTAGGTGAGGGGCTGTAGTAAAGTTTGAATGCTCAGAGACACAGGGGAGGGCTCAATGGAGTTTGAGTGGACTGAGGCATGATGAGGATAACTCAGTGCAGGGTGAAGTGGGTCATGGGGGCAACAAGTGGACAGGGTAGGACTTGGTGGGGTATGGTGGTGTCTGATGAGGTGGAGTCTTTTGGCATTTCAGGCACAATGGGGTGGGAGATAGGATATGTGGAATAACAGGACAGAACAGAGAACTTGAGGTGGAAAGGACAATGCAGAAAGGGCAGTGAATGGCACTGTGGCTACGGTGAAGTTTCTAAGGGACCCACACATGGGGGTGCAGAGAGCAGTTCTGACTGTGTGGCCAGACTGGGAGGTAACAGCTGCATTTCCCTGGGATCAGATGGAGATTTGGCCATTTGTTTTTCTGCAATAATCATCTTTAATTTCTAAACACTACCTTTGATGAATATATTTGTGTCCAAATTACAAATTGTCCAAATTATAAACCATGCAGCAAGATATACTCCCAGTCCTCTCAGCAGAATTACTTAGGAGAATTATTATTTTTAATTGTCAGGAGTAACAATTTCATAATCTGCTCCATGGACCAGATTTGGTACTTTGTCATAGGTAGGGTTAGTGTTTTTACTCAAACAAGAGAGCTATGAGACTTAATGAATTAAAGGTTATGCGTGTGTCAGGTAAGTGTCAAATGTGTGGTCATTGTGTCTCTCTTGGAAAAAATATTGAAAAGTGAGACTTAAGATTCTAATGTCCCATTGAAAAATGATGACTGCTAGATACCTAAATCACTGCTAAAATGAGATATACATTCTTCCGTTGCACACTTTGAAAAACCTTTAGCCTCCCCAATTTAGCATCTGAATCCAGAAATTTGCTTTGGCCCTTGCTTCATTATTGACCAGTTTTTAAATTAAATACCAAACTTAATCATATCATAGAACTATGTATTTCGTTCTAACCCATGTGTTGAGCACACAATAAATCTGATTTAACACTCTAAAAGCAAATTGACTCATTGACAGACAAACAGACCATCTATTTACAGTGGAGAAAGTAATAAAACATCAATGGACTCTCCTTATGAGCAAGAGAAAGTGTAAATTATTGTATAATTTATCTCCAAGCATATTTATTTTTTACTGATATAAAGACCAGCTGCTATCTCTGTACTATATATATTTATCTTATTTTTATTTAACTATATTTGCAGTATACTAAGGGGTAGATAAATACCATGGACAGGTAAAGTGTCTAGATACAAGATTGAATCCCCTGACACATGCACACACATTTTTCATTAATAAACCGCAATTACTTCTTAGAATAAACCCTAATGTGCACTTTTTGGAGGGGGGGTTTTCAGCTGCATTCTTGGAATTTAGGTTCATGCTATTGTGCTGTGAAAATTGATTAAAAATAGACTTCTTTTGGTTCCAAAGTGAACATTTTAAGTTCATTCTTAATAAAGAATTATTAACTAGGCTAGTAAAAAAAAGGAAAAATCCCAGTGTACAGGATACATTTGATATCAAAGTGTGTGGTCTATAAAGTCAGCTTTCAAGTTAACGATTTCTCTCCTGCCTTTAGAATGGACTTTGCCTGTTACAGGCTTCATTAATGATTACGTCTTTCAGTGAACAATCATGATTGCTTACCTCTTTATACAAAGGTCATGAGTACTTTAAGATCTAGGTATGTACCAGAAGCTATAAATGATTTTATTTTTTTCTTTACCAAAGTCACCACTCTTATACATCTCCAGCATGTCATCAGAAGGTTCCCACGTTTTCCAGATGCCATGACTGTCTTAATTGTAATTAAAACAATCAGACATATATCTCATTAAATGGATACTATAATAATGAAAAATAGAGCTGGCTGAGAATTTTTTATGAAATAGTTTTTCATTGAAATAGTCCTAATGGCCAAAACGGTTTTTTTTGTGAAAAAGTATCAACTTCAATGGTGTACATACCACAGTATAGTCAATAAGCCAGTGATCAGGGCATTGTGTTGCGAAATGAAGAACAAAGGCAATTGTGGAGATTCAGATCAGAGACTTGAACCCAGGTATTCACCAAGTCCCAAGTCTCATTTAAGTGCTACTATGCTATTAGCTTTTCAAGATCAGATTGATATATTCTTCCCTCTCTCTCCTCCTTTCCCTGTCACATTTCTCATTAAAAAATTTAGAAAAGCCTCTATTTTGACCTAATGTGGAATGGGAAACATTTTTCAAATACCTAAAACCTTTTTTTCTGGATGGGGAAGTCATTTACTACTCAAGTCTTCTTTACACTTAAACTTCAACTTTTAAGGAAAAAAATATTCACAAACCTGTTTCAAGAACTGGATGTACTCAAGACATAACCCAAGCCACTCTTCTTTTTTTCTCAGTCCCATTAAACTGTATTACTTTTGTTAGGGACTACCCCTGAGACATTTTAGGGAACAACCATAAGTAAAGCTTGAATGGAGCTTGTGACCAAGAAATTGTGACCAAAGACCAAGGACAAACAGGTCTATTGTTTTGATAGTTTAGGGCTGCTGTGGGCCTCTAGGATTCCACAGGAAAGCCTGGAATCCAGATGAGGCTATAGGTGGGTGATCAAACTGTTGCAAAATAT